TTGTTGTAACGTTTGAAGTTGTAACAGATTTCGAAAGCAATGAAAACAGCGACTTTCACCGAAAACATGGTCTTTCAGTGTTTGGTCGTAGCTTCTTATTGTAATCATACGACACTGACATTTTTGACAGGTCGTAGTAGTCATACTTTCTTAGCATGCTCTTAACATAATAAGATGGCACAATCTAATACCCTCTTCAGAGTATATAATATTGATTCTGAGAATCACATTTGCAGTTCTAAGGTCCTTCATGCTGAACTGTGCTGAAAGAAATTTCTTGGTAGATATTATCCACATAAAGGCATATAACCACCACATTTCCTTCAGCGACCTTGATGTATAGACACTTATCAGATTTACCGACTTAATACCCATTGTTGCAAACTACCCCATCGAACTTCTCATGCTAGAGTTTCAGTATCTACTTAAGTCCATATAGAGACTTAACAAGTTTACAAACTTTACCAGCTGGAGCATCAAGTCCTTTTGGTTTTTCTATGTAGATCTTTTCTGTGAGATCTCCATTGAGAAAGGTAGTCTTCACATCCATCTGATATATGACAAACTTTTTTTTCGTCGCCTATGCGATAAGCACTCTGATGGTAGTAATCCTGCAAACTGGTACATAGATATCAAAGAAATTTATTTCTTCTCTCTGAGAGAATTATTTTTCCATCAGTCTTGCTTTATACTTCTCAATAGTACCATCAGAACGAAGCTTTTTCTTGAAGATCCACTTGCAACTGATAGGACTTGCACTTTCAGGTACTTTCACCACCTCCCAAGTGTGATTTTGGATTAATGAATCCATCTCATCATTTATAACTTCTTTTCACAGAAGGATGTCTGTTGACCGTATTGCTTCTTGGAAAGTTTATGAATCTCCTTCCATATTATAGGTGATGAAGTCATCTCTAAAATCTTTCTATCTCCTGACACGCTTGGAAGGTAGTTCGGTAATTCCTTCATCATTGACACTTTTAGTTTTTTGTGAAACTAGCTCCTCTGGTGCTTCTGATGTACCGGCATTCTCTGGTATATCTTTGAGCAAGTATTCTGCATATCGAGCTTCAATGATCTCTGGTGCATCTAACGTACCAGCATTCTCTGGTATATCTTTGAGCAATAAACCTTTATCCTTGATAAACTTATTCTAAAAGAATTCTGCATCCCGAGCTTCAATGACGGAGTTAGTTCTAAGGTCCAGGAATCTGTAAGCATCACTATCTTCAGCAAAGCTAATAAGCACACACATGTTTGCCTTTGGTCCGAGCTTAGGCCTTCTGATATTTAGAACTCGAACATATGCGAGATACCCCCACACTTTGAGACTATCCAAAGGATCTGGATATCCCAACCATAATTGATGAGGAGTACTGTCAATTTTGGAATAGAGTATTCTATTCAGAATCTAGTTTTCCATCAGCATAGCCTCTCCCCAATAGCAGGTAGGTAGACCAGATGTGATTAGCATCGAATTCACCATCTCGGTCAGTGTGCGATTCTTTCTTTCTGCAATCCCATTAGATTGCGGAGAATACAGAGCAATAGTTTTAGCAATGATTCCATGCTCCTTAAAGTGTGCTTCTGACTCCTTAGATCGGTACTCTCCTCCTCTATCGCTCATGAGTTTTTTTACCTGAAGTCCAAGCTGCTTCTCCACACGAGTCCGAAACTCGATAAACTTACTGAAGGCTTCATCTTTAGATTTTGGTAGGTAGACGTGGCAGAAGCGAGAATGGCATCAATGAAGGTGATGAAATACTTCATGCCACCTCGAGTGACAAAGCTCTTGAAGTCACAAGCATCTGAGTGAATCAGATCCAGTAGGTTGGTGCTCCTTGTGACACTTGAAAAGGGCTTCCTTGTCAGTTTCACTTGCGAGCAGACTTCACACTTCTCAGGTTTGTTACCCTCATATTTTAAAAGTGATCCTAACTTCTCCATGCTAGATAATTTTCTATAATTTACATGTCCCAGTCTATAATGCTATAACACATAGGAGTAAGCAGAAGAGGATATTTCATTTATAACTGAGTTGGGTATAATAGTACTGATCTTATACATGCCATTAGTATGAAATATATTTCCAAAATATATTTTCTTAAAAGATAACACAACCTTTCCTCCTTAGAAATCCAGCCTCATACCTGTGTCACATAGCAGGCTTCCAGAGACTAAGTTTTTGGCAATTGAGGAAACATATTTCACATCCTTCAATGTGATAATCTTCCCTGAAGAGTGAGTTAGCACCATAGTCCCAGTTCAACAAGCACTATAGAACGATTAGCCATTGATACGTTCTCTTTGGCAGCAACATAAGAAGAGAACAAATCTATGTTGGAGCAGACATGACAGGGTGCACCTGTGTCTAACCACCAACCATAGATGTTGTTGGGAGTTGTAACCTGAAAGAGCATATCATCACAATTGTCAACTTGATTAACATTGTGTGTTGTTCCCTTCTTTGGTACTTAATAGTCCTTGACAAAATGTCATTGCTTCCCACAGTTAAAGCATTTGCCGCTCTTGTTAAACTCTTTCTTTTGAACATTTAGATTCTTCTGGTTTTGGTTCTTTTTTTTGTTAAATGACTTCTTCTTCTTTTCAGAAGAAGAACTAGTACCATTCTCAGAGTTAGCAACTACCATGTTAGTAGACGCCTGCTACTTAGCAAGGAGCTCATTCTTCGTACAAGTCCGAATCTCATCCTCGATCCGAATGAACCTCTTCAAATCAGATAAAGTCACATGTCATTTCCTTCTCCGAATGTCAGTGGAGAATGACATCCAAGATGGAGGAAGCTTATTGATAATTACACCAGAAATAAAGGTTTGACAAAGATTGATCTTTTCATCATTCAGTTTCATAACAAGCTTTATAAGCTCTTTGATTTGAGGCAAAACCTCAGTGTCATCTTCGAATTTGAAGTCTAGAAACTTGTCAATGAGGTAAGACTTGGACAGCTTCTCCTCATCCTTATACTGGTCCTCGAAAATATTCTATATTTTCTTTGCAGAGAGCTTGTTAGTGTAAGCATCTGCTAAATGATCGGCCAGGAAGTTAAGGAGATAACTCCTGCAGAAGTGATCATCTCTAGCCCAAGAGGCTTCAGACTCAAAATTTTCTTCGGGGTCGGGTTTCTCCTCAGAGTCCACATAGTAGATTTTCAGGAGTTGCATCCCGAAAATTACTTTTCGACGCCATGCGTTAAAGTTGAATCCGTCAAAGTCTTCTAACTTAAGACAATCCACTCCAAGTGTCCTCGCATGATCCATTGTAGATCAGAAATATTGGTTTAAGATTGTTGACGCCTGTGGCTAAATCTGGAATAAAATAGATAAATCTGTTAGATAGCTGAAGTGCTATATTTTTAAAACTTTTTCAAGTTTAGTTGCTGTGTGTTTATAAAACGTTATGCTTAAAGTAATATTTGGCCTACTCCGGTGTAAGGATCCCAAGGCCAAACTGCTTTCAGGAATAGCAGTACAGTACACTGGTGTGTACTGACCAAGTACTGTCAAGATCTCCTCGATCTATAAGACCTTTCTGTCAAGGCAAAGATCTCCTCGATCTGTTAAACCTTACGGTTCAAAACCTTTCGGTTCAGGCAAAAATCTCCTTGATCTGTTAAACCTTTCGGTTCAAAAAACCTTTCGGTTAAGATAAAGATCTTTCAATCTGTAATAACCTTTCGGTTCAGAGCTCTGTTCCTTCGGGCACAGACTAAAGCTTGCACGCTTTCAAACTTTACAGCAGCAACACAATAGCTTAAACACTTCTTAATATGTTTTTCGTATCTTTAGAGCTGCTCCAAAGAGCTCTATTTATAGGCATTTATGGTCAGCTCAAGGTTCATTTGACTATTACGAATCACAATGACAACTATGATTGTAATAACAAATGACTTAATTACTGTAACTGCTGCATGAAGAAATGTTTGAATGCGAGGGTCGCGTTACTATGCAACACAAGGGTCGCTACCAGCCTCGCGTGAATACAAGGGTCGCGTTCCCTCTTTCGAAC